AAGCCTTTAGAACACCCAAAGAAACCCTTTACTCGTAAATAATTCAGTCTAGCTCTCATCCAGTTGCGTAAAAACCCCTATTTGACCGATTAAAATAGTAGCACGCAACAGCACTACGTTTGCGAAATTGTCGTTACTATGTTTATTAATATAGCAATTAAATTTAATAATTTATTGAAACACTTGAATAATAAAATGCTTAAAAACAGAATTGATTTACACACAATGGTGATTAAAATACATGTAATAATAACGATAACGGTACCAATACACCCTAGAAGTATTTTTAAAAAATTAACAATTACATCATACATATTAATGATTTGGAATCAAATACCATAATAAATTATTATATATAGTAGCAATCAAAAATAATGCAACGGCAAAAAAATTCTTAGTAAAAATACGAAAACTGCAGGTTTTTTTCTGTATAAAAAAGTTTTTAATTTACTATCGTGTAGCGCTTACTACAGTACTCCCTCCCCCTGGTAAAGTATCTCCCCTACTATAAAAGGGGGTACTTTACCAGGGGGTACTGTAATAAGCGCAATACGGTAATAAATATTTTTTATTTTTTTACATCAAAATAAAAATAGTATCACATATTTTAACATATACGTATTTTTTCGGATTTTTTAGATTTAATTTTATATGATATCCTCTCATTACATAATTTTTTTATAATTAAAACATATATAAAATTATTGACTTTATATGCAATGAGAGGATATCATATAAATTAAATCTAAACTTCTGAAAAAATATTTTATGTTTTAATATTTTTTTACTATTTCACTATTTTTAATTACTACTGTATATTTACTTTTTATCTTTTAGTCTTTTATTTTATCTCTTTTAGTTCTTCAAGTTTGACTGATTAAAAATTGGTATATTTGTTGCTGTGCTTGAATTTTATTTTATTTGTTTTTTTATATATAATTACTATTGTTGCTATAAAAATTAATTTGGAATTTGGTCACAAAAACTAGATTTTAAAATATATTAAAATTTTATTATAATGATATTTGTATATATATTTAACAAAATTATAAAATTATGTATATAATTTTATAATAAAAATAAAAATTATTATCTTATATAAAAATTGTTTATTTTTATATTAAAATCTTTATTTTGATATTTAAATAAAAATATTTATTAATAAAATTGAAAACTTATATATAAGACAAAAATTTCTATTTTATTAATAAAATTACATGTATAATTTTATAATTTTATTAATTACTATATATTATAATATTTTAATCTAATAATATTCTTAAAATAATATGCAAAATATATTATAATATTTTAATTTATAGTTTAATAATATATTCAAACTAATATACAAAATATTATTTAAAAATAAAGTATATTTTTTTATAATCCACTAATTAAATAATTTTTATAATTAAATATATATAATTAAAAAAATTTTTTATAATTAATTATATATAATCAAATAAATTTACAAAAAAATATTGTTATAATAATAATAAAAATCTTATTTATTTTTAAAATAATTTTATATTATTAATATATATCTTACAAGAGTTTAATATTGAAAATAATAGAAAAATATTAATAATTTTATAATTATATATTCATATTTAATCTCAATTATTCAAATATAATATAAGTTTTTTTATTAATAATAATTAAATTTTAAAATATTTATTGAAAATAACAAAATCACTCATAAAAATATTTTACTTTTTATTTTTATATAGCAAATTATTTTATTTTTTACTATTTATATAATAAATTATTTAATTTTTCACTTTTATTTTTATTATTATATTTATAAAAATGTATAAATAAAAATAATATCTAATCTTAACTTAATAAGCTAAAACTTGAAAAATAATAATATAATCTTTTATTTTTTAATTATATATTTTAAAGTTTATATTTAATTAATTTTGAATTATATTAAGTTTATTAAAATATTATTATATTAAAATTTTGAATTAAATAAATATTTAAATTTTATTATATAATATTTTTTATTTGTTATATAATTTAAATAATCTATACTTAATAATTTGTTTCAATTTTTAACTTAATATAAAATAAAATTTTTTAAATTTGATCAATAACTTTATAAAGTTATTATAAAATATAAAGTTACCAATCAAATTTTGTTTTTATATTAAGTTAAAAGCTTTTAAAAATTGAAACAAAATTGTTAAATATAGATTACTTGTACTATAATATAAATTTTTATTATATTAAATTTTATAATTTATTTAATAAATTATATTATAATATTATTAAATAATTATTTATTTATATTTTATTAAATATTAGTTTTATATTTATAAATAATTAAACAAATTAGATAAATATAATATAATTAATATAATAATAATAATATAATTAGTATAATAGTACTAGTAAAAATAAAATTTTAAATATAATAAAAGTAATATTAGTATTATATATTTGTAAAACTATTAAATAATATAAAAGTATTATATTTTTATTAGTAATTTAAATAATTTTATTAAGTTTAATAAATAAATTTGTAAAAAAAATATATTATAACAAATGTTATATTTTATTAATAAATTATTTGTATTTTAATTTATAATTAAAATTATTATAAAGATTTATAATAACAATTAAAAATAATATAATTACATTAAAATTTATTAATTAAATATAGTAAAATATAGATTTTTCTCTTTATATAAAAGGTTTGAATTTACTAATAAATATTTTTTATTTTTACATTAAAATAAAAATAATATCATATTTTAATATATATTTTTTTAGATTTATTCTGATAAAGCTATTCTAATTGCATATATAATTAACTATTTTTTTTATAATTAAAACATTTAAAAAATAATTATCTTTATATGTAATTAGAACAGTTTTATCAGATTAATCTAAAAAATCTAAAAAATATATATATTAAAATATCAATATTATCTTTATTTTAATATAAAAATGAAAAATATTTATTAATAAATTTGAAAACTTTTATATAAAGAGAAAATTTCATATTTTACTATATTTAATTAATAAATTTTGATGTTATTGCATTATTTCTGATTGTTATTGTATATAATTTAATTATAAAAATAATTAATTTTATATGCAATTAGAACAACTTTATTAGATTAAATCTAAAATATTTAAATAAATATATGTTTAAATATATAATATTATCTTTATTTTAATTAAAATAAAATATATTTATTAGTAAAATTAAAAACTTTTATATAAAAAGAAAAATCTGTGTTTTATTATATTTAATTAATAAATTCTGATATTGTTATATTATTACTATATAAGTCTTAAAAAATTTGTTTTAATATATTTTTTATTTATTCTAATATTTTTTATTTTTTTATAACTTTATATTTTTTATAATTTTAAATTATAATAATTTTAAATGTACTCTTTTTTATTAATTATTATTAAATCTTTTCTGTTTATTTACAATTGAACAAACTTGTAATATTTTACTGCTCTCTTTATAAAATTCAAATTATTTCAAATTTTTCAAATTATTTTATTTTAAATATTTTTATATTCCAAATTTTTTTTATAAAAAAACTTGTTATTTATTATTTTGAAAAATATAATTTAAATTAAATCAAAAATATAAAATAATTATTAATTCTCTCTTGTTATCTATTAATAAAAATAATAGTGTTATATATTTTTAAATAAAAAATTAAAGTTAAATTTGCTTATCTGTAGAAGAAATCAGGGATAATCAGATACTTATAACAGCTACTATAAAATTGAAAGCTTTTATATAGAAAGAAAAACCTTTATTCTATTATAAATTTTGATTCTGTATTTCTTTTGATTTTCACTGTATATAATATCTCTTTCTATTCAAAATATTCTCATCCAATCACAGTATTTCTCCTATTATATATTCCAAGTTCTATAGAGAATTTATAGTATCATATATTTTATTTTGCAAAATACAATGATTTATCATATTAATGGATAGAACTTTAAAACATACAATTTATTGAAAAGAGCAAATTTACCATATAAAATTTTATTATATGATTTTTTATATTTTTATAAATAGGATTGAATATATATAATTTTTATGAAATACAACAATATGCTAAATATGTGAATACATAATAATATGCTAAATAATTGAAAAACAGATAAAAATCAATAAGCCAATATGAAAAAGTAAAAATTAATTTATAAAGTCTATAATCGAATTCATATCAAAATATAAAGTGCAAACGAAAGAATAGCCACTACTCTTATTAGATTGAAGAAAAATGTTTGAATCGAAGGAATATCTTTTTTAAAATCAAAATGAGAACGAAACTATTAAAGAAACGAAATCGATAATTTTGAGAAATTAAATTACTATAAAGTACTATATAAAGATGGAAATAAAACATCGATTAAAAAAAGTATTAAGCGCCCCGAGCAAGAGCAAGTTTTCAAATTGATGATTAAAAATTCTAATCTCTTTTGTCCGGACAAAAATTTTTCGTAGGTTTGTTTTTGAAGATTAAAAATTCCAAACGAATGAATTTCTTTTAATTCGGACAAAATTTTTTGTAAACTTCTTTTTGATATTTAGGCAGAATTTTCCAGAGATTTTCAGCAACAGCAGAAGTCTTGATAGGATCGATCGCCTACTTGAAAATTTAGGTTCTTTATTCCGTAATGCATGCTCGAAATATAAGGAACGTATTTGGAATTTGATATTCGCCGCCTCTTTTCTTTTTAAAAAAAATATTATTTTGGAAGACACGGAAAGTGAAACGCCCTCAAGTTCGAAAGTGACATTTGATTTTGATTATGTTGTTCCTCGAGTAAGTCTTCATTATTGGGATTTTTATAAGAATTGTCTTGTCGATATTGCGCCCCTTGAAATGTCACACACCATCGAATTTTTGCGAGGTATTGCTTATCCCTTTTTATAAACTCAATATTCCTATCACCATCGATTGTTATTTGCACCTCGATAACAGATCCAGAGATTTTATAGTCCGATTTAAAGAAATTTGTATTTAACCTGGGATCATATTCAATAACAATTGAAGTATTACAATTATGTCGAGAAAGTTTCGTTCCGATATCAATTTGTATGGTCCATAACCTCGAGTAATTTTTATTATTCTCTGCTGCTTTTGGCATTAGTTTCACTTCAGTAAAACCATTTTTCACAGAGATATCGCGGGTTTTCGCGTCAAAATAGCCGATTTCGCTTGGGCAGCCAATTAATATCCATTGCAGCTTAAATGATCTAGAAAATATACAAGAATATGGCTAATTGCTTGATATATAAAAGTGTTATCACTAATTTTTTTACCTATTATATTTTGCTTTCACGGTTTCTTCATTCCAGCTTACTGAAAATCCAAAATTCGATTTCAAACTAAACTCCACAACTTCCGGCAACTTTTCGCCATCAGAAGTCACGATACTTCCGTATATTTGAAAATTGTTACTCTTCAATGGCTCATCGAAAACGATTCGTTGATAACCTTTGGATATATTATTAAGCAGAGTCTCATTGTTCATCAAAACTCGGTCTTCTTTTTTATAGAGATTTTCGATCTTTTGTTGTTGCTTAATATCAAGAATTTTATATAATGGAGCAACAACACGTCTAATAACGCGCCAATCTAAAGATTTTTTTGATACATTTTCAAGCCATTGTGGAATTCGACTAAATGAAGAAAAACAAATTGTAAATATAGTCTTCAGTTGTAGGTACTATTCAAATGAAAAAATTAGAGTACCTTATCTCAACAGGTTCATCGTTCATATCTAGCATATGCTCAAAACAAACAAATTTATTTAAGGATGTTACATCTGTAAAAAGAGAATTTTTAAAATGAAATTATAAGTTATATATATACATAGACAAGTTGACAAATTTCCAACAAATATTTACCTATTTCGGAAAACTTATCAAATTTTTGAGTTATGTCATCATATAGAATATGTGGGTCATCGTTAAATTTAACACTACTTCTCAATTTATCTCCAAAAAGTATTTTGGTACTAATTACATGACCATACTTTTCAAAAACGCGATTTAAACTTTCGATTGGTATATTAGATTCTAGTGCTTCGTCAATAGCTTGGCTCAACTTAACTGTCGGTTTCAAATAATTAATATCATATTCACATTGAGCTTTTTCCACGATTATTTCACTATGTATAGCGTTCATCTTTGAGTCATTACAAAGGTTGAAATTTTCTGTGACTTCTCTCGTCTCCTTTGATAAGGTTCTGTCAACTTCTAAACCCGCAAATAGCATATTTATATCATTAATTTGTGACGCTTTTTTGATCTTCAAAACTTGAAATTCTTTAAATTCGATTTTTGGCATTGGCGATCCGCTATCGATAGCAGGATGGATACATTGTTCAACACCACCACCACTACTAGCAATTTTCATTCCGACAGATAAATCCACATTTTTTAATAAATTGAATTCTTTCGAATATTTCGAGCTAAAATCAATTTCTACATTATTACTTAAAAAAGATTTTTTATTCGGTGATTTCTCAAATTTATTTCCTACTAATATATTATTATAACTGATTAATTAGTTATATTGATTGTGTCAATGACATCAAAAACATTTGGCTCACCTGATTTAAGTCTCCTAACAATCCGGTGCACCTTTCCACCAGGCGTTTTTAAAAACCTCTTATCCTTTTCTGTAAATTCAAGAGTCTCAACTTCAGATATTAATGAATAGCTCGATTGCATTAGAGATATTCCGACGTCAATGCGCTTAGCACATGAGTTCGATCCATTTTTAGTGTTTATTTCATTTCTAGGTTCAACGGTTAAGCCCGTTTTTGTTGAGACATCACAAGTTTTAGAATCGTAATACCTAATTTCATTTGAGATTAATATCCATTGAAGCTTAATCGATCTTTGAAATATACCAAATTGATATAAGAGACATATGGTACATAAAATCTAAAGTCATCAAGCGTTTGTATTTTATAAAATGTATAAGCTTCTTTACTAAGAAGTAAATACAAAATTTAATCAGTGAATATGATTGAATAGGCCTTTTCTGAGCATATTCGCGGATTAAATTTTGTATTTACTTCTTAGTAAAGAAGCTTATACATTTTATAAAATACAAACTTTAGATTTTATGCACCATATTAAAATAGATTATAGACTTACCTATTTATCTCTCTTTTTTTGTCCGACTCAAGACTAAATTTCCCATTGATAACTGATGGTTTTTCGCCCTTGCCTAAAAGTTGATTTCTAAAGATTTGATTACTGCTTTTCAATAGCTCATCGAAAACGATTTGCTGATAGCTTTTTGGTACATTCATAAGTATAATCTCATTTTTCATAAGGACACAGTTTTCTTTTGTGAAGAGATTCTATCTTTCGTTGATGTTCGTTATTAAAGATTTCAATGATCGGTACTACAACACATTTTATAGTGTATTTTTTATTAATTTGTCTACTTTGAATGAAGAACAATGATGAATAATTCATGGTAATTACCATTATAAAATCGATTTGTTAGAGTACCTGATCTCAACAGGATCTCCGTTGACAGCACATACATACGAAGAATGTATAATTTCTGAGGAATAATTTATAAATAAAATGAGAATGAGAAATGTCGAATTCTTACCATTTTCTGAATTCTTTGTGACAATCTCCTTTTCCGAGTCAAATTGTTCATAAGTTTTAACACTATGTTTCAATTTATCGCCATTTATGATTTTGACAGAAACAAAGTATAATAGCGCGTCTTGAACAGCAGATTTTAATTCCACATTATGCTTTAAATTTCCAATATCGGTTTCAATTAAAAATCGCTCTTTGATTATTTCAAAATGAATTACGCTCGTTTTTGTGTTATTCGAACTGAAACGATCTAAAAACTTTTGGAAATTATCAATCGAGTTTTCATCAATAATCATTGGTAAAAATGAAAGTATATTAGCCGGAATTGTATTTGTTCTATCATTATAAAAAACATCACTGATTATTGTATTCATTTTACATAGAAATCTGTTAACTTGATGTTTTCTAAAAAAAAAATAAAGGCTTCTACATGTATTTAATACATTAATAGCGCATTCGTGTTTGTAAATCAATTCCTGTCTGTGCTGTGTTAACGTTATGCAGAACATTTCCTTAATGGGATAAAACGTTTTTGTTCTCAGAGTAGTAAAAAAACCTTTTGTTCTTACACTCCATATATAGTAATTTTTTCTTTTGTACTTTATCATTATCTACTATAACAATTTGCTTTAGACATATCTCTACGTATGTACATGTATACGTATCCCTGTCAGATAACTCTAACCCTAACAAGATTTCATAACGATAAACACGTACGTAATCTACTACCGGTCATAGGTCGACTAGTGCATAAAGTGTAGTTACACTTATCGTTATATGTTAACACTTAATGTTACAAATTAACCTACTTTGAAATTTCAAAATTTTTACCTTTTATTCATCTAATTATTATTGCTGTAACTGTAATAGTTTTTAAACCATCTTTATCACAAAGTAGTCAACCAGACGATTATATTGGTTAAAGATCTACGTAAAGTAGTGGTCATAAGTATCCAACGCTAATCCAACGCCCCTAACTTTTTATCCTAGAACTTTTACATGGGTGTTTTACAGTGGCCGTATGTTTTGCATCGTGATTTTACACGTTATTGACATGTGCAAATAAGTATATACAAAAAGGGGAGTGCATCTTAGTGATGTGGGCTATCATATTTTTATCGACCAGCCCCGGTTGTTATAATTTTATCAGCCAGGTCGGCCAGGCCAGTCTAGTATAATTTCCAAAAAAAGAAAATATGTAATTTATTAAAAAAAGATAAATTGCTTAATGTTTCTTATAATTCAAGTCCTGGATAAACATTGAAAAGCTTACTATTATGTTTTAAAAACAAAATATCATGAACAATATCAGAAGAAAGACGATTTCGTTTTTCAGTTATTATGTTTCCTGCATCTGAAAAAAGTCTTTCAGAAGGAACAGATGTAGCAGGAATAGAAAGATATTTTCGTGCTTGTTTAATATGATGTGGAAAAGTTTTTATATTATTATTCCACCATACAAGTGGATTTTCTTTTTGATAAAGAGGATTAGAAAGAGAATGCTTATGAATTTGTGGTATGGATTTATAAATTTGCATTTCAAAAGATATTGGAGAGAATTCATTTGTTGAATTCTCATCATCAAAGAATAAATTTGTTTGTTCAGATATCATCAGAGTAGATATTGAAGATTCATTATTTTCTGTTTCCATTTCTTCCAATATTTGAGGTCGTATATTATTTCATTTTGTACCAGCAAATTTCATATTTTTAAATTGTGGATCAAAATAAGCTGCAAAATATCCAATATCATCAGTATTATTCCATCATTGATCCAATGATTCTTTGATTGTATTGCAAGCTTTCAAAACTGATTCATCAGTAATAATTAAACTTTTCATCAAAAGATGAGTGGTAAGTTTTGTTAAAATAAGATACATCATACTTAATATTGGATAAGAACTTCCACTAATAAGTTCAGTAACTTGCACAAAGAGCTTCAATAAATTTACCAATTTCTCCAATACTTGCCATTCTCTATGATTTAAAAATAAATATTTTAATTCTTTTCCATCTTTTTTTACTGTATTATCATTATCATTAAATAATACAACAATTAATGATTGGATAGTATGTTTCAATTGTAGAAGATGTGCAAAGACTAAATATATTGAATTCCATCTCGTTTTTACATCTTGAATAGGTTCAAGTTTACTGGAGGTCGAAATAGAGGTATTTAATATTGAAGTATCATTAATTAATTTTTGTAAATCACGAAATTTTTGCCAATACTTATCATGATTTACCAAAAACTTATTAAGAGCTTTTGCACATGTTATTAAAGCCTGACATTTTGATAATTCATCATTAATTGCAAGTTATAAGATATGTGTCATATATTTGATATGATGATATTTCAATTTTTGTATTGTGGCATGCATATTAGCTGCATTATCTGTAGCGCCAGCAATAACTTGATTGCTTATTTCCCATTTATCAAATAATTGTTGCAAAAAATCAGTAATTCTATCACCTGAATAACCATAAGAAAATTAAATTCTTCAATTGTTAAGAGTGTCTGACAAAGATTAAAGTTTGACGTTAACCAATATATAGTTATGCTGATATAAGGTTGATGAAATTGTGTTCAAAGATCAGTTGTTAAGCTACATGTTATTATTGTATCTTTAATGAATTTTCATAATTTGTTTTCAGCAAATACAACAGCATCAAAAATTTTGGTTTTGATTGTTTTCGCACAGGAAACTGCAAATCATCGATCTAGTTCATTGCTCAAGTGAACAAAAGACTCTGATTCAGTAGTACTAAGAGGTTGAAGATCATCAACGATAAATTTGACAAGAAGATAAACAAGCCATATATAACGTTGTTCGATAGCTTTGTATGGCTTTATATTTTTAACACATGTTTTTAACGTTTGTTGTGTTTGGTTTAAGGTTGCTTGCCGAAATCTCTTAGTGACTGTCTAAATTCTGTCAAAATTATAATAAACTATTAGTAAATAACCCGTCGAAATTCTGACGAATTTTGAAACCCGTCGTAACCGAAATTATGTCGAAATTCTAATTAACAATTAGTGTGTAACCCGTCAAAATTATGACGATATTTTTCTGAAAGGATTTAGGCAAGCATCCTTAGTTTGGTTAGCGATAAGATTTAATGCTTTTGCTAAATTAATTGCATTTGAAATTTGATGAACAGTTCTTAAATGATTTTCAATATTTGTAGTACTTGTTGTAGCTGCAAATTTTGCATTACACAGCTTCTCAATACCATTTTCTGTTACTTGTACAGTACAATATCGTATTTTAGTGCTCGAATTTACGTGTATATAATCTCACATCCAGCTTGAGCCCCATTTGCTTTGTGATTGTTGGAATTGGTGAGCATCTGTTGATAAAATAGCAACACGTTGTGATGCAAGTGCTGAAGTATCAAATGTTGAAGTAAACAGAATTGGTGGAGGTAAAGGTGATGATGGTGGCGGAGTTGTCACATTTTCATTTTGGTTATCTTGAGGAGTTTCATAAGAGGTTTCTTGAAGAGTATCATAAGTAATTTCGTATATTTCTTCATTAGAGTTTTTATAAGTTTCATAAGAAATTTCATGGTGAGTCAGTTTATTTGATGTTCCACTTTGAGTTGGTTTATTTGAAGTTTCACTTTGCACAGCAAATGTACTTGCGTTATAAACAACAAATTGCAGTTGGTTATCAGAAATTATAGAACGCTTTCTCTTGCTTCGTTCACCCTGCACCATTCCGTCTTCCTCAAATACGAATAGTCGTAATGAAAAAATAGCAAGAACACCTGAATGCAATGCATAAGCATACAACGTTTTATGATTTAAATTGTCTGTGCTATAAATAATTAATCCAGTTGGCTGATATTATTACTATAAATAGAAGTATATCAAATAAGGTAAGCAGTCGATCTTGCAGCCTAATTGAATTGTGATCAGCCTGATCAGCCTGATCAACCTGGCTGACCTGGCCATAAATCACCCGTAATACTAGTGCATCTATGTACACCCCAATTCATTTTAGTTAGATCAAATAACAGCCAATAAAAATACATAAATTTTTGATCAATCTGGCAAAACAAAAAAATGAAAAATGCGAGAAATGTAAAAAATACAAGAAACAAATATCTAAATCTGGTCTGGAGTGCTAATAAAAAATGTCAGGAAGACAATTTTACATGTAATCTTATTCTCTGTCTCTAACCCTAACCTTAACTCTAACCTTAAAGCCAACTTTAACATTAATCTTTATTATTATAGAATTTTCTAAAAACACACTAATCATATTGGAATTTTATATATATTTAGGTTATACTGGGGTGTACATAGATGCTTCCCAAAAAGAGGAATGCATTAAAGTGTGGTACTCATGTGACCTGACACAGGATAATGGGACTGATATTCATTCCGGAAAGCGATCCGTCATTATAGTCAGAGATCAATTTTCTAAGTGTGTAATGTGCTCTATGATAAATATCAAAACAATCTTTTTGTTTTACACTGACTTGTGCATACCTACAAAATTACTTGCAATGTCTTAAAAGAGCTATTTCTTTGTAATGCTGCTGGTGGCATGTTCTTGATAGTCAGAATTTCAATGTAAAAAGCGTAATGTGTTGAGCAAAGTATTTTTTTTAATGTTTTAATGTTGAATGAAGTATTTTTTTTTGCACTAACGAACTTGATTCATTTCTTGTTGATTATCCACAACAATCAGTATGACGAATGGTTTCTTGAAAATGAAGGGATAGTGAGTTTGTAATTAATAGTGTTTGCTTAATCATTTTTATACAGTGAATACAACACTCTTTAAGATAACATTTCATTATAATAACACAAAATCTCTTCCCCCAATCATGTTATTGTATCCAGTGTCCACTGTACTTTGATTTTGGTGTTTGAAAAATCTCGCAACTTCAAATCGAAAAAAAGTGCATCCTCCCTTTCAATTGACTTGAAATCTGCTTATTATTTCGCTCAAGGAGACTCAATCTGAATTTAATTAATAATCACTTAATATTATTGTAAAAAAATCATTGTTGTAAAAAATTACTTAATATTATGCAATAGTAATAATAAAATCAATTAAAATATAATAATAAATATATTAATTTAAAACTGATTCTAA